CGCCACTTTGGTCCACCTTATTTATATGTGTCGGGAAGCTTTGAGGAACGAGGCATAACACAATAAATGCTATTCTTATTCAATGACTTGTAAATGAGTGACCGGGTATTTCATATTTAAATAACGGCTGATAAAAGCGGTGATCTCACTCCAAAATTTGGTTGTCGAAACACCCTCTTGCCATATATTTCCTTCCAGTAACTTGCAGCGTTTAATCGCTGGCGATTTCAGAAACATTTGCGAAAGAAACACATGGGTCCGATTTCATTAAAGTCAATCAGCTAATGACTTTTACTCCCCCCACGGCTCATGTTTTTTGCGCCTAAACTCGAATTGTTTTTGTAAAACGGTGCTTGAAATAAACTCTTAAAAGAATTTTTATGATGAAAATTTACATGAAGCGATTGAAAGAACTAAAGTAAACCGCAAGGTGTTTTACGGTCTCTCTATGTGACTTGCTACGACTGCTAAACACCGTGACCCCCACTGATAGAGGCAAGCCCAAATGATGTCCACTGTGGCTTCTAGTTTTATATGATTTCATACTGTATTTTAAAAACTAACTATTTTTTCCCAAGTGAAGGGTAAACAATCAACCCGCGAACAGCAAAGTTGAGATTGAAAGAAAACTTTATCCATGAAACATTCAAGCTACCAGCAAATACGATTCAGTAAACTTGCCCGAGAGTCACGATATGAAAAACATCTTGTGAGCTCTAGAATGGTTTAAAAAAGTTTACAATCATCTTCTTTAGGTTCTTTGATTTTTTTAATAAGTATACCAAAGGGACGAATATCGTCTTTCTCTGTGAGCCAGTAGTCCGCTCGAACTTCTGTTTGTGAAGGAGGGATGATTTGGACGCACTTAGGATTGACACGATTCTGAAAGGCAATTTTGTAGTTTTTTCCCTCAAACTCGAATGGCTGTGAATATCCCCTTTCAGCCATTTCCAGACTAGGGCTGCTGTAGACGCCTAGACCAAACTTTTCTCTGGGTTTGCTTTGCTTTGCTTTGCTTTGGTTTAAGGCCTTCTTTGACTATCTTGCGGACGTCGGAAACCTGCGTGCCGTGATACGAAGCAGCCCATTGGTTTGGGGCTTCTTCAGTGCATATGCCGTTTAGGCCGAGTCATTCCTCGCCTCCTTCGTATCTCTCACGAACTTTGATTGCTATCTTTTTCCAACCGTACGGTCGATGATATTGATGCCCTCCTCTCATGTATTTCTTACCATCATCTTTGACATCACTGAAATAAAAATCGTATTGGGGATCAAGTCCTCTGGGGTCGATACTACCTGGTTAGCCACCACCACGTAAACGCAGCACTACGAAGACGCTACTACCATATCTTGTAACCAAAACACAACGACTTCTATCATACTACTTCTCAAACTACACGAACCTCTACTAAAACACAGCACTAGGAAGACACTACTGCCATGACAAATTCCGAGACTGCGTACTAAAAGGGTTTCACTTGTATCATCAAGTGTCTTGCCACTGTACGTCAGACCCCATCATCTTTGCGTCTATTCCTGTCTTCTCTTCAAAAACAGCTTTCAACTGCCTGATTGTGTGCGTATTCAGTGCTCTAACAGTGAATATTTCGCCTTCTAACTAAAAAAAAACAACATCTATCATACGACTTCTCAAATTAGACGAACCTCTACTTGCTCCCAGAGATGGAAAAGGTTGCATCCCGGTGTAACTTTCTTCGAACGGTTCGTGTATCTGACTCCAAGGGAGGCCATGTTGGAGAGGCATCTCCAGTGGTTGCATCTTTGTGTAAGTTGTTTCGGACAGTTCGTGTATATCACTCGAAGGGAGCCCACCTTCACCAAAGATTGCTGAAAATCCAGTATGAAGCAATTCCAAATTTGACATTTTCTGAAGGTTTTTTCTGAGATGAACACAGCCACGTCGTCTCCAGCAAATAGATGAATTATTTCATGCCCATACTACATTACACTTAATTCTTTGTTTCTTTTATCCTTAGAAACAGAGGATGTTTACCATCCACTCGGACAAATTGATTGGTCGGCTTTTGCAGAGGTTAAACGCAGAGTTTGCCAATTTTTTTCTTTTAAGTAAATGCACCCCCCCTCCCCCCCGTCCCTCGCCATCACCACCATCTGGTCAAACCTTTGAGGCAAGAATTTGAGACCCATGTCGGAAACTGTTCACAATAGTTTTGCTGGAGAGACCGGAATCACGT